ACGGAAGAACTAAGAGCGAATATGATTATATAATAACAGACAAAAAGCAAATCATTCAAGATGTCACTGTACTCAATAAACTATCGGTAGGAAGCGACCACAGACCAGTAAGAGCTAGAGTAACGATAAACCTACAAAAAGAAAGAGCAAAGATGATAAACAATTGCAAACGCATAGTTTGGAATTCAAAAAATCAGCCAGAAGCATACATAAAAAATATAGCCAAAACTTTACAGAGTAATAATCCCAAACCTCTAATAATCGACACAGAAAATTCAGCTTAGGTCGAGGAGTTAGACAAGGAGACAATATTTCACCAAAATTGTTCACGGCAGCTCTAGAGTCAATAATTAAGAACACTTAATGGCAAGATATGTGCATCAATATAGATGGAGAAGGATTAAATCATCTGAGGTTTGCAGATGATGTTGTATTAATCGCAGATAACTTACAAAGGGTAAGTTAGGGTTTGAGGGACAGACTTTGAAGGGTTCGCTTCAAAGTCTGTCTGAAAGAGCAGAATTAAAGTAAACTTTGAGAAAACTAAATAATAAACTTACAAATATCTGGGACACGAGATCAAAATAAGCAGAGACAATCAAACACATGAACTACAGAGGCGAATAGGCCTGACATGGGCAACATTTAGCAAATTAAGTTATATTCTAAAAAGTTCAATACCCATGTGTCTCAAGCAAAAGGTTTATAACCAATGCGTTTTGCCTGTACAAACTTATGGAGCAGAGACTTTAACACTTACGCAAAAATCTGCGAATAAACTCAGAGTTATACAACGAGCCGTTGAACGTGAGCCTTCGAGACCACATAACAAACCAACAAATCAGGCAAAGATCAGGAGGTCATGACGTCATCGAAAGAACCACGACGCTTAAGTGAAACTGGTCAGAACACTTAGCCAGAACACAAGATGGACGGTGGAGAAGACGCATTATGGAATGGAGGCCCAGAAACTATAAAAGAAGCCGAGGACTACCACCGACTAGATGGAAGTCATGTTTGTTTTTAAGTCTGATAATTTTTAAATCTAAAAAATTATCAGACTTAAAAACAAACATGACTTCTCCATATTTCATAAACCTAGCCATACTGACACGACTATACACAATTCATCATCCTATCCCACACTTAAATATCATCAAGCAAAAAGCAGTAAACAACGGATACAACGAACAAATAATTAATAAAATACGTAAAGAAATAATAAATAAGACTTACTCACAATCAATTTAATTTAACTATCAGACGACCGGTTTCGCTTTCTACAATATGCAAAGCATTTTCAGGTCTCGATACAAAGTTAAATAAATGCTGAAATGATAAAAAACCCATATTAGTGTGTTGTCTAATAAAGGTAAACAAATTAGATGTTGTAAATTACAATAATTATGCCAATATTACATGTCTGTGGTTTTATTTCAAAATGAGTAAATTAATTAAAAAGGTGTAAAAAGTTTTAAAAGTTTAGACAGACAACGTAAGACCCACAAATTGTTATAAAATAGTCTATTAGATTGTAATAGATTAATAAATAAGCAAATAAATAAACATTACTTACATGCCGGTACTCTATTAATTGATGGATGGTAGAACATGGTTGAAACTACTATGTATTGTTGAATGGAGAACTCAATTCTGCTATTGTAGTTGTTTGACAGTAAACGGGAAGTTCTTGAGGAGACAGATTTGATCCAATGAAGCAGAGATATGTGTGTGATTGTTTGTTAAATGAAAGTGATGTTATATACTATTGTATTATTTAAAAGTTATTTATACTTATTCGAGAGATATATTTATGACATTTCATAAATATAGCCACAGTATTCGCCTACTTGGTAGATGTTTCATCAGTGAGCAATAGGACTATGAGAGTGACTATTCTGGAAGTGTGTTATTTAGCAAGTATGCCGATAGGAGTAGCTTTTGGTAAGTTATCGATATAAACATATAGAATGTAGAAATGTTTCCATAGTTTTCTATCCATCCAGTTGCCCTCTTTCAGATTTCGTTCACTCATAGCTTTGGTTATGTCTAGTTGCCAGATTTTTCCTGTTATAAATAAAAGTCGGGTATTTGAAAGCGATAACAAATCAACCGAATTGGTATAGATTTATGTATGACAAGTACCTAGTTTGTTGAACAAAACACATCAAAAAACTAGATTTACGATTCTGGATATCTCCAGCTCAATCATCTTTAAACAATTCTTTGAATCCATACTTTTAACTGCAATGATAAATCAGACATCAATCTCATGTATTTTTTATATATAGTATAGGTAAAAGTTTATGGTAGGTATGGACTTTACGTGAGATGGAGTAAGAAACAACTGTTTAAAAAGAGAGAGGTATATTAGGTCCGCCCTTTATATCACCGAACATGCATGTGTGGATATAATAAAAAATGGGAAGTTCAATGTTGCCAAACTTAATGGTTTTATTTGACCTGTTGTCTTTTTAGCATTTGAACAATGTTCTAAGAATCAAATTTGGGCGAAATGGATTTAAATGGCAGCTTACTGTTTTTTATTGGGAATATGCCACAAGTTTACTTTACAGTAAAAATTTATTAATGTTTCGTATTTTAAGTACGATTTCCTAATTAAAAATCTAAACATCAAAATAAGCTTATTTTAAAGTCACATTGTGCCTTACTCCCAATATGAAATAATAAACTGCATACAATAACGCCACATTAAAATATCTTCACAATTATTTGGCAACGTCTGTTCTGGTCAAAGCATATTTATGATATATTTATGACATTTCATAAATATATCTCTCGAATAAGTATAAATAACTTTTAAATAATACAATGGTATATAACATCACTTTCATTTAACAAACAATCACACACATATCTCTGCTTCATTGGATCAAATCTATCTCCTCAAGAACTTCCCGTTTACTGTCAAACAACTACAATAGCAGAAAAATACATAATAGTTTCAACCATGTTCTACCATCTATCAGTTAATAGAGTACCGGCATGTAAGTAATGTTTATTTATTTGCTCATTTATTAATTTATTACAATCTAATAGACTATTTTATAACAATTTGTGGGTCTTACCTTGTCTGTCTAAACTTTTAAAACTTTTTACACCTTTTTATTCAATTTACTCATTTTGAAATAAAACCACAGACATGTAATATTGGCATAATTATTGTAATTTACATCTAATTTGTTTATCTTTATTAGACAACACCCTAATATGGGTTTTTTATCATTTCAGCATTTATTTAACTTTGTATCGAGACCTGAAGATGCTTTGCATATTGTAGAAAGCGAAACCGGTCGTCTGATAGTTAAATTAAATTGATTGTGAGTAAGTCTTATTTATTATTTGTGAGTAAGGCAATCAGCCGAAACAGCTGTAGTGATAAGAGGTTAAAATAAATTTTGTGGAAGTTTGAAAACAAAGTTTTCAGTGTTTTATTGTTACATAAAATGAATTTCCATCAAGTTACGGTGGAATCCATCAATTAATTAATATTAATGTTGAAAACAGAGTAGATGTTCATCTGAATATTTTAAGAATTTTACTTCAAACTATTTTTTATACCACCAAGTATGTATTTCTTAATATTGCCCGATACTCGATCTGAATTTGACTGTTGATTATGTCATTTTACTTTCCTTGAAAATTCCCTGCAATGTGCAAATAGATTTATTGTGAAAAAAACATTGAAAAATTGATATATACTTATATCTACCAGAAATTGGAATTTTTGCCCCTTCACTATGAGGTCGAAGGTCGCTGTTAAATGATACTAAATTCTTGCCTACCAAAAGAATTCAAATGGAACTTCTAATCAGCAGTTTAAATAATATATTTTAATAATTTCACAGTTAACTACACCTAATAATTGTATCCATTCTAATGGATTAGTCACTATTTAACAATTATGATATTTTAAAAGTGGTTGAGTGATAACGTCAGGAAAATCCAGAGCAGAATAAATTAAGGTAAGTGAAAATGGCATAAATGTGGATCTAATGAAATAAAAATGTATCTAGTAATTTGAACACAAAAAGGATGCAAACAACTTGTATAATAGGTATGCGTAAATATCGAGCATAAAATAATGTGCAAAAGATGGCAAAAGAAATCTAGACTTTTTTATAGAGAGCAAGAGAGCTAAAAAACTTCCAACAAAGATAAAATAATCAGAGAAGAACCCAAAATCTTCCAAGTGTTTTCCATGAATACTGACATACTTTGATAATTTAATATTTAATAATACTTATTTGAATTAAAATTATCACAATTAAATCCATCATTTCGAAAAGGACACAAACATATTATTAATTAAAAATTCCGTTCACTTTATTAGAAAGAAACAAGTTCAGGGCTCGCGCCATTTTCAAACAGACTTGAATTTATCAATAAATGTGCCCTTATTATATAAAAATGTAAAATACTTCAAGAAATAAAATTTAAAAAATGTATGCCGTTTTCTAAATGACGGGTACAATTAATTCATTTATGGATATTTTCCAATTAAAAGAAGTATTTAAATTTTTCGCGCCGTTATAAAAAAAATAGAAGAAAGTTGAAAGTTATATAACCATAACCCATCGAGCAAAAAGATAAAAGAGGGAATCTAATCGTTATGAAAAGGAGACCAAAAAAGTGGCCTCTGATGGCGGACATATCCGGAAATGCAAAGGCTCTAAATTTAAATTTTCCAACACTTGTTAACAATACCTGTAAAATATTTTTCAGACAAGAAAGCTTTAATTAAATATTAACGATAATAGTCTAAAAAGTGACATAATTGGTAAAAAACTTCAATATAAATAAAATTTCATGTGACAGTTGGGACAAACAATAACATAACCAAACTAAATTTGACTTCTTAAACAAGGAAAGAGACTGTCATTCCTTGTTTAAAGTGGCCTCTCAAGATGGCACTTCCTGTCTAACAATATTGTTGTCCCCACTGCCTTTACATTCCCTCTTTTATCTTTTTGCTCGATGCCATAACCACAACTATAACTGCATAACCTATAAGTTGTTCCGGCAATATAACCTTTTAAGCAATAGTTAAGCCTTTAACAAATAGAAAGTATTTAATAAATATAAGCCTTTAATAAATAGAAAGTATTAAAAAAGGTAACTTATCTTATACAGATAAATTATCAGTATATCATTTTTAGCTAAAGTAAATGCATGCTATCTCATAATTAACAAACTATGCTAAATATAGAGCAAAATTCGCCTGGATTAGGATTAAACCCACAAAGTAGATAACGCTTGGTTATGGTTTTTAAATTAGGCTTGATTATTACCATACAGCGTCTATATTCTTTGATACAACTTTGTAGAAACAATAATTTGGACTATGTAGTTAATATACATACCAGAGAAAATGTATGGTGCTGTCCCACATACGAAAGTAAGTACAGTTAGTACAGTTTATTTTTCCCATTGCCACTTTAATTAGTTACAAAGACAAACTTCTAGTTATTGTTTTATCAGTCGAAGACAACAAACAAGAGTAGCAAAAGAAAAATCAAATGAATCATTAGGCTCTATTTCATTTAAGTTTCATACAAATATAACTTACTGAAAACAAACTGTGTGAAGGAATATTTTACCGGCTTAAGCAAATGTAATTGGGCTATAAAGCAACTGGCAGGCACTATAGGTGGCAGCAAAATAGCACAATGAGAATAAAAGAGAAAGTTTCGAGTCTGTAAATTGAATATATTTCATTTTACGATAAAATATATATTTTATATTAATAAAATTACATAATTTGCTTTTCTTCCAATTAATAGTGATCTTCAGTATGCCAAATAATTGAAAGGCCAAAAAACTTTTTATTCTCAATAAAGTGAGAGCTATTAATGGTGGTATGTTTTAGATGGAATCCAGGTATTCAGTCAGATGTCTTGGAGCATAGGTTCAGAAGTTCTTGGAAAAATTATACTGTTTTGTATATCCTGTGAAACCAGTTTCAATAATAATTTTGTAAACTGAATGTATCTATTTGCTTCCTTTTTCTTTCAGTTTCGACATGCAATTACCATAAGCTAAAAAATAAAAAAATTCCATATCATAGGCTTTATGATTATTCACCTTAGTTCACATAGATATTCAATAGTACACTTCAATGCTTGGATCAATCGTAAAAATTAAAATATTTTGTTGTGGTTGCACTTAAAAGTTTCTCATAAAAACTGCCAAAAATAGCTCTATCACTATTTACACTTTCTATATTTCTGATGAACATCTACAATTTCTTCTTTAAAATGATCTGTTTTTCAGATGGATGAGCCAACAACAACACGATATAGCAATAAATTCCTTCACTATTTCAAATATGTCACTGTGGAACCCACAATGCTTTTATACATGATGGCTTTCATGACCACAAATGTAGCAGAGCAATCATTTTATGTTTATAAGACATGTACAATCAACCATGGATACAACAAAACGATCTGTGATAATATCAACAGTCCTGAGTACAAAAATATCTCCAAAGAAGTACAGGTAATATTTATTGTTGATGTTGATAATTGTTTTGATCATTTATGTGTTATAATTCTCAGTAGTGGCTAATGATATTTGAATTTATATGCCACAATAACTAATCCAGATACATTGCATGTCTTAATAACTTCTCAGGTTCCATTTCAAGCTCTTGGTTTCAATCTGGTTTAGCCTGATAGAATTTACTGTCTTTATGCTTGGTTATTTGTTCTTTATGAAAAATTAAATAAGTCATTCACCACATTGATTCTTTTCACCAAGTCCATGTTTTCTGAAGCATCTGTCATTGTTTTTCCTATTTTAGCATTAATTCTCCAATAATATATAATGTCCTTATGTGGTATGTTTTAGATAACCCTTTCCAGTTGTTTATATTCCTCGTCCTGGACTTTATCAGAGTGGTTTCTAGTTGGCACATATACTTGAGCATATAGTTTTTAGGGTCTGGAATTAAATGATATTTTCATATGATCATTGATATAGTTTTTGTATATTTTGTTAACCCGAAATGCCACTTTCGTTAACCCCCAGTATATACTGTGTGGTCAGCTATCCATCTTTCCCAGTGTGTTTCTGTGATCCTTACAGCTATTACTTTTCTGTTAATTTCTTACTTATTTCAGGCTAGCACTGCAAAATTTCACGTATGGAACAACTTAGCAGGCCATGTGACACCAATAATATTAGCACTTTTCATTGGGGCTTGGTCTGACAAACGTGGTCGAAAACTTCCTTTACTTATTGGCCTTTTTGGAAAATTATTCTTTTCTCTGATGATAATTGTCAACACAGTTCAACCTAGCTGGCCTGTGGAGTATGTCATATTCACTGCCACTTTACCTTCTGCCTTAACTGGAGCAGATGTTACAATTTTTGCCACAGTATTCGCCTACTTGGTAGATGTTTCATCAGTGAGCAATAGGACTATGAGAGTGACTATTCTGGAAGTGTGTTATTTAGCAAGTATGCCGATAGGAATAGCTTTTGGTAAGTTATCGATATAAATATATAGAATGTAGAAATGTTTCCATAGTTTTCTATCCATCCAGTTGCCCTCTTTCAGATTTCGTTCACTCATAGCTTTGGTTATGTCTAGTTGCCAGATTTTTCCTGACATGAAAAATCAACAGAATTGGTATAGATTTATGTATGACAAGTACCTAGTTTGTTGAACAAAACACATCAAAAAACTGGATTTACAATTCTGGATATCTCCAGCTCAATCATCTTTAAACAATTCTTTGAATCCATACTTTTAACTGCAATGATAAATCAGACATCAATCTCATGTATTTTTTATATACAGTATAGGTAAAAGTTTATGGTCGGTATGGACCTTACGTGAGATGGAGTGAGAAACAACTGTTTAAAAAGAGAGAGGTATATTAGGTCCGCCCTTTATATCGCCGAACATCCATGTGTGGATATAATAAAAAAGGGGAAGTTCAATGTTGCCAAACTTATTGGTTTTATTTGACCTGTTGTCTTTTTAGCATTTGAACAATGTTCTAAGATAATCAAATTTGGGTGAAATGGATTTAAATGGCAGCTTACTGTTTTTTATTGGGAATATGCTACTAGTTTTCTTTACAGTAAGTGTAATATAACATTTTTATTTCCACTTCGGAAATCGTTTTATATAAAAAAAATTTATTAATGTTTTGTATTTTAAGTATGATTTCCAAATTAAAAATCTAAACATCAAAATAAGCTTATTTTAAAGTCACATTGTGCCTTATTCCCAATATGAAATAATAAACTGCATACAATAACGCCACATTAAAAAATCTTTACAATTATTTGGCAACGTCTGTTTTGGTCAAAGCACCGAATCAAAGTGTGGTAACGAGTAGTAGAGGTGGGTCGTTGAAACTCGTTTTTATCGTTAAGAGCGTAGGCACAAAATTTCGGGCCAATGCTTTTTAAATGCCTTCATTTTTTTCAAATCCTGAGAAAACTAATAAATATTTTTGAAAAATTTAAACACAGAATGAAACAATACATTATTACCGAGGGCCGAAAGTCCCTTAAAACTTCTATGATGTTTATTTTAATAAGTTACAGGGGTGAAAAAAAAGAGAGAAAATTTAGTGTGATTTTTAATTTCAAATATCTCATTCAAAAAACTTTTTGTTTATTCTAAGGGACTTTCGGCCCTCGGTAATAATGTAATCTTTCATTCTGCATTTAAATTTTTCAAAAATATTATATATTTAGTGAAGTGAAAGAATCTAATGATATATTTATTATAACTTGAAAAATAAACTAAACAATACAAATAGTAAATAGTACTTACATTTACATTACAAGTTATTATTAAATCGCGAATCGTCTAAATTGACATTTAAAAACATAAGTTTTTCTACTTTACTTCATGTTAACTGTGTTCTTTTTTGTTATTTAAAATTAAACTAGATTTTGGATATGTGTTCACATTTACAATACTTTATGAATATAGTGGTTAAGTTAGGATATACATGGCGATGGTTTTTCCACCGTTGTAATGGACTCTCGATAGAGGTGTATGTTTAGATGAGTCATCTCCAATTAATTGATGAAAAATACACCATGGACTTAAGTCATCTTTATAGGTTCCTTTTTCTTGTACCCGTTGATTTTCAATAGTACAATATTCTTGTTCTTTAATTATAGAAGTAACCAGCTTCGTAACTCTTTCTTTTGTTTTTTTAGCTTCATTTTTATCCTAAAAACCCTGCACTTTAAATCGTGAATCCATAAATGTACATAACAGCAATGTGCCACTCTGTTCTATTCCTCTAAATCTTTTTGCTAAACCCGATATTAATAATTGTACTACGCCGGATACTATGGATGTAAGGTTACCGTTTGCTAAAATTCTATTGCAAGATTCTTGCAGGCAACGTACCATAACAATCACTGAACTACCCTTCAAGTATTTTTGGCCACTCATTGTACTTGTTATTTCTTTAAACGGCTGTAAAATTTGGGAAAGTTGAGAGCAAATAATCCAGTGTTCTTTATTTAGATTTGGTCTAAGTCTAAGTCTGTATTAACTAATACCAAAGTGGTGAACACATGTTCAAAATCTGGTTTAATTTTAAATAAAAGAAGAACACGGTTAACAAGAAAAGTGGAAAAACTTATGTTTTTAAATGTCAATTTAGACGATTCGCGATTTAATAATGTGTAATGTAAATGTAAGTACTATTTGTATTGTTTAATTTATTTTTCAAGTTATAATAAATATACCCTTCGTTAGTTTCTTTCACTTCAATACTTATACACATAAACGATAATAACCAATATGTTTGTGTACTCGCTAATTTGAATACTGGTAAACAATCAACTAATTACAGTTTACGAAAAACGGTTCCGATAAAAATTAAAAAAACTAGAGGACCCACCTCTAGTTTCTTAGCTATATTAGGATCGAACCAGAGAATATGTAAAATATCTCTGATCTGAACTAATCGTCTCACTAATGGGCAATGGGCGTCAATAAGATTTATGGAGGGGAGACCAAGGGGAAATATGATTTTTATCTTTGTCTATTCGCTGAAAATATGATTTTATATCTGTCTTAGATATCCTGTTAAATTTTACCATACCGACCATAAACTTTTACCTACACTGTATAATACAAAATTAGCAAATAATATAAAAAAATTGAACAGTCACAGACAGTTAAAGTATTTTGTGATATATTTTAAAACTGTACTAAGTTGTTACATTGATTTATTAAATAATGTGCAATCATTTACAATGGTATTCTAGTTAATAAACTGTATTTGTGACAGAACTAATATATTTTATTTGAGTTAACAATGTTTCCAATAATGTATTAACATTTTTAGGTGCCTACCTCTTCAAATTTGTCTTCAACAGATCATATACCTACATGTTTGTAGTTAACAGCATACTAATGGTCTTGGCGATCTTGTACACATCCTTACGTTTAAGTTGGAGGAGTAATCCCATGCAGAGACCTCTATCGGAAGCTTCCAACAAGTTTTTAGACTTCTTTGACTACAATCACGCCGTTTCCACGTTCAGAATGTTATACCAAAGTCGACCGGCAACAAAAGGACCTACTTGTGGTTACTTTTGATGATGATGGCCCTGTATACTTTTCAACGGAACGAAAGGGACATCATGCTGATGTATTGTTACTTGGTGTTTCACTGGTCTGATGGCCAATACAGCGTATTTAAAACAATACAAACCGCCCTTCAAGATATCATTCTTGTACTTGCTATTCCTATAATGACAAAATTTTTGAAATGGCGTGATACAGTCATTATTATGATTGGAGCTATTGCACATGTCATGGGACGCATATTTTATTCTACGGCAGTTCATCCCTATGTTTTCTACCTTGGTAAGTAAATTTTCTGTAGAAATAATTATATTTTATTATGTAATATAGCATACAGGGTGTCTCAAGACAACATAATGTATAAAACAGATTTTTCATAATTTTTAGGTCTGTCTTTGCATTTTTAGGTGGGGTTTTGGCAGCAGCTGGTCCTATTGTTGCACCTGTCATAAGATCTTTGGTTTCTAAAACTGTTTCGTCTTCAGAGAAAGGTAATGTAAGTGGTTTAGTAAATAATGAAAATTATGGTCATAAAAAAATCATATTTTCTTCGTTTGTTTTTAAGACCAAAATTATTTTGCTATAATATGTTCCTTACAATTTAGTTGCTATTATTGTTAGATTAAGGGGACTATAAACAGTGGATCTGCTTGCCTCAATCTGTTTTTTACTTCAAATTTCGTTTTTTATTAGTTCTAAATGCCTTTTTTGATAATTGGCTCATTTTTCTTGGTATTCCAAGTTGTTTTAGTGCCCGGAATGTGAGGTTTCTTGTTATAGAAAAATAAGTAGAAAGGAATTTATGATTTTTTAGTGATTCTCTATTATAATCTATACAACAGGGCTAGTGTAAGTGATTAAGTCTTTGTATGCCGCTCATTTGTTTTTTAAAGCGTAAAAGACCAAGCATCTAGACATCAAAACTTTGGAACCACATTTTATATATGGAACCATATTTGTTTACATTACCAGTCTTTACAGAATGGCTTTTTACACTCTACCTTAACAAATTTTCAAATAATTTCGATATTTTCTATACGAATATTTACTCCAAGGTTTGGATAAAGTAAAATCCCTCGTTTAGTGGCTCAGTTAGTGCTCTTTCTCTAATTTTGCTAGTGATGTTTCCTGAAAAAATAAAAATACTTAGATTGTAGCATTTTTTTGTCTACTCTGTACATCATAAAAATTCCTTAAGGTTTTTATTAGACACTCTACAATATCAAGGCTATCCTTCGTTTATTTGGCGCTTCTCTTTTCGTCCTACATGAATTTTAAAATAATATGTGAATTAAACAAACAAAGTAGGCGGGAGAATATTAAAGGTTTTTGCGTTTCAGATAAATGGAGTTTAGATTCCTCTCTTAAGATACAATATTAGATGAATTCGCATCTCAGCGAAACAACTTTTTTCTTCACTTTTTATTTGGCAGTCGGGAAGTCCGGGCAAAAATAAAATGAGCGGAATTTGAAGTGTGTTTGTGTTTTTATTTTTGAGGGACTATAGTAGCTTTGTTAATTTCTGGATTTTCAAGATTATCAAGATGATGAAACATGCCCAGTTGTATCCTTACAGGAACAGAGCTAACACAATGTCCCTCAGTTTGAACTAAATATAGAATACAATCAAATTGTATGGTGAAAAGGCATACCTTTTAGTTATTTTTTTTATAACATGAATGTCTACAATTGACTGTTTCAACACAATAAATCGTTTTAATATTTTTTAGGAAAAGCTTTTGCAGTACTGGCTGTTGCAGATAATGCCGTACCTCTCATAGCAGGAACCAGTTATAATGCCCTTTACTATTTCGTCCTTCCCTATAACCCAGGATATGTATTTTTCCTTACAATAGCGACGCAAATTGGAGTCTTTCTGCTGGCCACGTAAGCATATTTTATATAGAGAGACCACCGCTAAACGATTTTTTTATTCTTTAAATTGTATTGTTTTTAAACAACTAAGCTAAACATTCAAAATGTGCAATTTTGAAACATTATTTTAAACGAAATTATATCGAGTATTACTTCTTATGTCGCACAGTATATGGTTGTGCAATTCTGTCTAGCCGTTTCAAAATGGCTACCATTCTACGTTTAATGCCTACTGTGTAAAAACCCTAATAATTTGGTAGTTCTCAGCGTTTATGGAAGACGCTTATACATATCGAATAATATTTCCAATTTCCCATCTTCTAATAGAATACATTTGTTATTTGTATTGACATCTGTCAAAAATATGATGTCATCAACATTTTTCTTAAGTAATTATATTATGCAAACTTTAGGAAAAAAGAAACTCCAGCATAAAAACAATACAGTTTTCTCCAAGTATAAGTATCTTTCTCCAAGTTACCTTTTTTTCCTTATTGCATTAAACCAAGTTTTTGAAATTAACATTTTTAATTTGGTACTTTCATCAATCTGTACGTTTTATACCTATTATACACGACTGTATGTCTTAACTTAATGTATTGTTTTCTCATTATGCAGAATCTAACCGGCGACCTGCTATTTCTGTAACTCAAGGCAATACAATAATTGTTCATATTTTTTCCTAAACAATCTAATGTCACGTGTCACGTGACAAAATCGTCGAATGAAAAGATGGAACATACCAAATACTATAGACTATAATACATACAACTCTTGACATTTCCCATTAGTTTTGTGGCAGCAAACAAAATAGCGCCATCTCATGTTATGAGTTGATAACTACAAACTTATGCATTTAATAGCCTGTTATTTAATAAGTGTAATTTATTAGTTTATTTATAGATTAAATCAAAATACAAATTTAATTGTGAGTTATTTTCTTTAATTTGATATTTTTACATTTTAATTTATATAATTTTTTCTTATTACTGTCGTTAATTTTATTTACATAAGCTTTTATTAACACATTAAAATATTTATCTATAAAAGTCTTGTAACAATTTGTACATACATTTTGGAGAGTTTCTTGAAAGTCACATTTTAATTTCAATTTATATTTAACATTTTCAACGCTTTCTTTTATATAATTTGGAAAATACCTTTTAAATATTTCATTAATTTTATCTGAAGCTCCCTTGGCTTCATCATTTGGAAATTTAAAATTAGATGATTTCTCATATTTTTTTAACTCTATTAAGGTATTTTCTAAAGAATAATTATTAAAAGAGTTACATACTGCATTTCTACATTGTTCGTGAGGCAATTGACTGCAAACCCATCCTAACACATAAGTCTCAGAATTTTTTTCGATCATATCGTAATTGTCATTACTTATGTCGTTTTCGGTGCAATGCTCGATAGGATTATTAAGCAATACTTTAATTGGGTTTTTGAGCATTTCATCTTTTTGAATTAAAAATGAACAAGCATCAATGTTGCTGTCCGCTGATGGTTGCAGTAACTGATATGCCACGACAGATCGCAAGTTGCACCTAAATTTCACACTGTCAGGTGTATTATTATTAAAACCCTTAGCCCTAATAATAGAAAATAAATTTTCTATACAGTCTTGGGTTAGCCTTTTTGTAAAAAGAAATTGAAACCCATAATTGCTCTTTAAATCATTCCAAAGCAACTTCAGAGAATTAATATTTGATATCCATCCATTGATACATGTTGGATTAACTCTTCTTCTGTTCAATTCTCTGATATTACTTAGAAATTCTTTTAAATCGTCCAATTTATCAATATGATAATGATTTTTTATTGAAATTGGCTTTCTGAATTTCTTGTCATTATATTTTGAAGAATTAAAAATGTCAAATAAAGTGTCCACTTTCTCAATAAAGTTAGCTGTGTATGCTGCACTCGCTGGTAATTTATTTAATGTAACATGACATAGCATCCCTATTTTAGCGAGATTAGCTAATAATACAAAAATTAGAAAAAGAAAATTTGTATGTTTATGTTGACAAAACGTAGTTATCAACTCAAGCCGCCGTGGCGCTAGAAGCAACGTGCTGCCAGTTTTGTGTCGGAGTTGGATGTATTATAGTCTATTCGCTGTGAGTTTCGCCGGTAGCGCTCTCTCGCGGTTTGAAACTTGTACTTTTCTGGTAAAATCAGTGTAAATGAAATATGACAAAATGAGAAAAATAGATATTTATTTAAAAATACAAAATAATGAACTGAAATATTATGGTAAACTGATTAATGAACGAATACACAGAATTAATAGTAAAAGTAATTACGCCTTGTTATTTTATTCATTATAATTATAATATTTAAGATATAAGTTCTTGCGACTGGATGACTACTTACGCAACAGGTCATTGAGAAAAAGAAGAAGTTTATATGAAAATATTTAATGGTTAAAGCAAATATTTAAGGTTATATACGCTTAAAACGTCTATATTCTGGTTACCTTTACCTCTGTAACGTTGTAATTCTTGTTTTTATTTTACATTTTTATTCTATTTTTGCTCAGTTATTTTTTGTGTGCGTAGGCCTTAGTGCTTAGATATCAATTTGTTTTAATTCTTCTTCTTCTTCTTTCGTTTTATGGCCTCCACCTCTTAAATTTGTTTTAATTTTATCAAAATGGATATTAAACATTATACTGGTTTTAAGTCTATATCACATGATATCCCATTTCAACCAGCTACACCAAAAAAAGGAAAAGGTTTAGTTGATGCAGGGCATGTACGCAATGTTTCGGAATATAATAGCTTTTTAATTTTACACCATACAAATATCATGTTTGCATTATAGGTTATTTACTTATTTTTCTCGTTGATAGCAATAATCCATTTTTCTCTTTGAACTATTTTATGCTTGGCAACAGGAAATGAATAAAATTTACAATGACTGTTGTACCCAGTTTTTTTACATGTATCATATCTTTTTCTTTTTGAAAAATCCATATTCGCCATTATTTGAACGTTTACAAGTTAAATGCACAAAACTGCCACTAACAGCGTTCGTGAAAACTGTCAAATCCCCTCTACTCATCGGCTCACAGCGAATAGTATTTGAACATACTGATTACCTAACCTCAGTAACTGGTGTCAAAATGTCATCCAGTCGCCCAATGAGAAGATGGAATGCAAGTTGGCAATTAGCCTCTCGTGTTTAGCTGTCATATATGTTTGTTTACAAAAAATGTCTTTCTGTTTAGTCTAATTTAATTTTAAGATCTTTAAAAAGCTTTTAGTAATTTAAAAATTAAAGTACCTATAAATTTTAATGTAATTTAATTTTCTAGTTTGTTTCTTTTACATTGAGTTTGTAATTTTATTTTATTATTATTATGGACCAACAGTTGCTTTCAAATCGAAAGTAGAAGAAAGCAAAACAAAAAACTTGTTTAGTGACTCACCCATGATTTTCGTTTAATACCATCCAGTGTTACACTACTAACTACTACACTTAATTAATTTAAATTGAAAAATTCAGATAATAGTCAGGGAAGGATTTTAAATGCACGCTCTATTACTTATTTTTCTAGTAAAATCTATTCTGAATTGTTTTTTTAGGTATATTCATTCAAGAACACACAGAAACGAATTTGAAGTTGAAATTCCAATGCCAAAACCGATTGTACACTCGGAACTTGATAGGCTAAAGGAACCGAATATGGAATGAAGACCATTTAAAAATATTTTCCATGTTTTGTGACAGTATTCAGTATTTTATTCTTTGACCTCTCTGCTCAAATGATTGTAGTTGTAGTATTTTATATATTTTTGTAGAAATAAATGTTTAAAATGACTAATTATTTTCATAGATACATAAATAAGGGCACAAGTAGAATAAAAGGATACACTTTCTAATAACTTTAAATTTATACCAGTGGATTACAGGTCGACAAGCCTGGAGTTTTTTGGGTGCTCTGAATCTGACTCTGAGCTTCGAATTGACTCTAGTTTCATATAGAGTCGTCTCAAGATCTTGGACAACACAGTGAGCTAGAGAGACGTTATAGGGAACATTAAAAAGATCCTGCTGAACTTCTGTGGTCACATCGAATCTAGCACTCTTTTTCTTTGCGTAATTTGACATAAATTCATTAAAGCTTCATTCTTCAAAGATCAGGCAAGTTGGAGTCTGGTCTGTAGTTTCATTCACGGCCGAGCAGTAGGTCATTAAGAATAAATGAATGTGCTGGTCCCAATCTCGTTGATGTTCTGATACAACTTTGGACAGGTATTTACCCATCATTAGGTTCATCCTCTCGACCATTCCATCTGATTGGAGGATGCAGGGGTGTAGTTCTGGTCTTATTGACACCAATCAATTTATAATCGTTTTGAAAAAGAGTTGACTTGAAGTTTCGCCCTTGGTCGTAGTGGATCTCCAAGGGAACACCAAATCAGCTAAAGATTTTTCTAACAAGTATCTTCGCAAGGGTAGCAGCTTCTTGATTTGGTATCGCATAGGCCTCAGTCCATTTCGTAAAATAATCCATGGCTACCAGGATATATTTATTTCCATCATTTGTCTCTGGACATGGACCTGCAATGTCGATTGCTACTCTTTCCATAGGACTACCAACATTGTACTGTTTCATGGGTGCCCTCTTTTTACCAACTGGGCCATTACTGGTTGCACACAGTTTTTTGCACCATTTTTACAGTTCACCCAATAGAACCATTGTCAAACCTTTTGCAGAGTGTCTACCTGATGCACCGTCATGCAACTGACGCAATACTTCTGACACGTTATTTTTATCCAATCAATCTGGCTCATTGAATTATTAAGATTTACATTTACACCCAAATGAGAGTGGAGGATGTTGCCTATCCTCTGGGAGTAGGGCATCCTCTTATCTCAGAGATACCTCAACCTCTTCATTTGAGGTCTCGACTGAGGGGGCTTTGAACCTGGTAGATATGTTTTTTTTTATTAACTTTGGCACACCATTAATATATTTCAAACTGAGATCAGATTCTCCCTTACGCTGTCTTTCTTTTAACTCATTTTCAGTGCATTGACCTCAGCTAGTTCAGTAATCAGCTTCCAGGAATACTTTTAAACCTCTATCCAACTCCCTCTTGTTTCTCAATATCAAACGAACCACTTCAGGTAACTCTAGAGTTAGTCGCAGTAATTGATACCCATTTTTATTTCGTTTACCAATTCTAGCTGAACTGACTATTTTTATATCATAACCAGCTAAGCCTGACAGCATTTCCTTAGCTTTAGAGATGTCATCTTCCTCACCATCTTGAGGCATATTAAAGATCAAAAGATTGCAAGATCTCTTTTGTCTATCAGACATTTCATACAAAACTTTGTTGATACTTTTACTAATTTGCACTAAAAAAAAAACATTACAATTTAAGCTTTCCTAACTTTGTTTGACAAAGTACAAAAAAATTGGAAATTTTTAAAACAAAGGTTTTTGATAAGTGATAACCTAAATAATAACAGTTTTGTTTGTTAAACTTTATTAACACTACAACAGCTGATCTTGTAAATAATAATTGCTAAGGCTAGTTTTGTATAAAGGAATTGCTCTGAGTGTTTGAGAATTGGCATCATTGACATGTACAGCAACATAATCTCCTGCACGAAGTTCTGTCAATGTTTCACTCTCTGTAGAAGGAACTGGAGTCACTGGTAATATAACCCTAATATTGTTATCATTTCTTCCTTGGAAAAACTTGTTAGATCGCTTGCTGTATCCTTCAATCAAAACCAGATGAGTTTTTCCTATTTGGGATTGATTTAAATGGAGAGCAGTTTGACGAAAAACTTCTATCATCCTTTGCAACCTTAAAAATGGTTCAAAAATGTTATTATGATAATATAAACATTGTTAATATAAACCCAAACCATTTGAAAGCCAAAATTCCACACTTATCATTATGAAATGACACATGCATACTAACTGCAAAAACAAGGGAAACATTTATACCTGCTATATTTAATTTCATCCCCAATATCATCATGAAATCTCCTATGCGCAGTAGTTTTCTCCCTCATGCTATAAGGGAACAAAAATGCTGTATTATACTTAATTTCATTCATGAGTGAGATAGTTTCATCAAATTCTTCATCAGTTTCTCCACAAAAGCCACATATAAAGTCTGAGCTTAAAGCAACATCAGGTATGAATTGTCGAATATGTTTTATTAAGTCTATATATGCTTCCCTTGTATACCCCCTACGCATTCTTTCCAACACAGCAGAACTACCAGATTGGGCAGGCATGTGTAAATTCTTACAGATATTGTGATGTGACTGGATCATCTAAAAAATATTGTCACTAAATAGACATAATAATACATAAATAAATGTAATACTTACATCTATGACATCATCAGAAAAGTCTTTTGGATGAGGAGAGGTAAATCTAATCCTCATTTCTGGATTAACTTTAGCAACTTCCTTAAGAAGATCTGCAAATCTTAAACCTCCTGTCTTTGGTCTATATACAGTTTTGAAGCCAGTAGCCAAACTAGTGACATTGTCTATTTTATTGTCGATTGAAGTATCTCTATAGCTATTTACATTTTGACCCAACAAAGTCACTTCTTTTACCCCTTGATTACACAAATGTTCTATTTCACGTATAATAGACGAAATAGGTCTTGATCTCTCTCTTCCTCTAGTAAAAGGCACTATACAATATGTACACATATTATCACAACCTCTCATGATGGAAACAAAAGCAGATATCGAGTTTTCATTTAATCTGACAGGTGTAATATCTGCATAAGTTTCTTCTAATGACAAAAGGACATTTACAGATTTTTGATTGTTGTCTGTTAAAGTCAGTAACCTTGGAAGGTGCCTATAACTGTCAGGACCTGCCACCAAATCCACCAAAGATTCTTTCTCTAGCACCTGAAAGTATTATCATAGGTATAAATTAGTAGTAGTTTACGAAATATTTAATTTTGACTACAAAAATTTAAATTATTTTATGTTTTGGCCTCCAAATGAGAAATTGTATTCAAAATATCTCAAAATTTATATTAACGAGGAATAAGAGCTTCCATCAGTTTGTTTAAATACCATTACTTAAAATAAGAAATCAAATACTAACCTTTTCTTTAAGTCTTTCTGCCATACATCCTAAAATGCCCACTTTCAGACTAGGTCGATCTTTTTTCCTTGTACTTTTTATACCCCTATAATACCTAAGTCTTCCCCAAATCTTTTCTTCTGCGCTATCTCTAATAGCGCACGTCATAATAAGAATAACATCGGCATCAACAATATTCAGGGTCCGTTCAAAATTATTCTGCAGTATTGCCCAAACTATTTCAACATCATTAACGTTCATTTGGCATCCGTATATATCAAAATAAACCTTTCTTTTTTGCTGTGGTACATTCTGAACGTATGGTACTATCTCCTCTGATAGTGTCGGCGCTGTACTCTGCTTCAGTTTGCCGTTTTGTAGAAAATATGTAAAGTTTGGGCCTTTGGTTAATTTTTTTGTAAATGATTGATTTGTAGAATTAGAAGGTAAGACATCTGCTTTTTGTACGCTACATCGTCTTATTAGGAGTAATTGATTTGTATTTCTTAAACTATATCTGTAAATATTTGTTATTTTGTTAGTAAATTGCATTTTTTTTTGTAAATTTTAGGTTATATTTATATAATTTTCTTAACCACATAACCAATAATGTTCACAGGACACAACCCTCTAGTAAGTCCCATAGAAAGATTTGGAAGAGGTTTTAGCGCCACATGCGGACGGGCCGAAACTAATTTTAATTATTTTTTATATTTGGAATACTATATTATTTTTATATTGTACCTTCTTCCATTTAGAAATGTTTATTAGATATTTAAAAATTGATGTATACTGTTTTATCTCATATTTCTAAAACTTGGAGTACAATGTTTTGATAAAGCCATTAGCAATGACAACAGCACTTACATCAACGTCATTCGCCTCTTGCTATGTCATGATCTCTCTTACATATCTCTGGTCACAGAATAATAAACAAACAGAATACCCACTCTCCACGGAAAATTAAGTACGCGCATCTCCTCCGCGCAGACGTTCCGCCATGTTTTAGGAGGATTTTAAAAAAATTAGTGTTGTTTATGTGGTATGCATGGAAAAATTAACCAGGTTTATTTGACTTACGGCAATCATAGACATACTATACAATTATATTAACATTGTTAAATATAATAACATAAATATAATATAATTAAACATAAATATAAACAATTACATAACAACACAAATCATATGTCTGTGTCCTCCTAAAACATGGCGCGCGTGCTGAAAAACTTCAAAGGCGGCATCTGAGAGTGGCCCTTCTGATTGTTTATTATTCTGTCTGGTCATGATCTGGGGGCGCTATTCTTGACCACTCGCAAGTACAAATGTCATTCTCAAGATCGAACGATTAGAACGAAATTCTGTTTTTCGTATTCTTGAGCACTCTCAGCAATTGCGAACATTCGAAACTCGCTACGAGTGGTTGAAATAATTCTCATCGTCTTCGCAAGTGAAGATTGTAACGTTTTATGTTAAAAAAATATGGGTATGTTTATTTTTAAATGAAATTTGCAAAGCTTGCTGTATAATGTTGGTGTAATTTTTATGTGGAATAATTGGAGCGGTAAATTATTATATAATTTTATTCATTCATTAATATCTAATAACGTTTATTAATTTTCCAGATAAAGTTAAAATCATTTTTACGAAAAAAAAATTCTACAAAAAGTATCAAATAAAGTAATTAGACATACTCATTTGTGTATTATGGACGATTTGCAAGCTATTGGTGCCATTGAATATTTGGAAAATGTCGAAGAAGCAGTCCAACCACGTAACCGATTTAACAACATTGATCCGTTTGAAATGCTATCTGACAATCAATTTGTGCACCATTTTCGATTAAGTAAGGAATTGTGCCGTTATTTAATTGAAATAGTGACTCCACACATGAGACCGCAAAGGCGAGCAACAGATTTAAGCGTGACCACAAGAGTAAGTTTTTCATTTTGTCTTATAGTAAAGCCCTTATTAACATTCTATCCATATCTATATCTGGTCCATAACCTAACCTATTTAACCTTCTTATCTATGATCTGGTCATGATACTATAATAACAAGATAGGATCTTCCCGTAGCACAAAATAGGTCGTGTTCGCGCATGCCGTCATTGGAGAGTAGAATTTGAATTTTTGTTAAAGTTAAATGGGAATTCTGTGATGAAATTACTAGACGAAAATAAGTTAAGAGGTTTAATAATTACAATAATTGTACACATAAGGATATCTCCAAACTATTTATTAAAGAATATTTATTGATATATATACAAAAAACTGACATTTCGAACGTCAAACTCTCTAATGATGTCACGACTTATGCGCATGTTGCTATGTCATAAATCTAACATGACTAGTACCGCCGTCGCCATTGCGAACGGTTGGGCCCACGCAATTCATTCTCCCCATTTTTCTTATTTGACTTACACTACTATTTGTGGTATATACTGTGCAAAGTTTCTATTTTCAAATTCTTTGTTATAGAATCTTAGTGTTCTTCAATTTATAGAGAGGTAAAATATTTTAGGAAGGAAGATTTAAACCAGATTTTATTGTAATATTTTCAAAATTTTATTGACAAATTATAAAATTGTAGAAAATAGATAGTCCTGTTGTATTAGACGTCTTCATTAAATTTTTTCATTATTAATTCTTTGTTCATTTTATTGAATGAAGTTACTTTGCGCATTTTCGTATTTATTTTTTAAAGCTTAGTTAAAACAGAAACAATGATAATTCAAAAATGCTTTTATTAATAATTTTTAGACATCAATTATGGATCATTATTTATCATCATTAAATATTATTGAGTTAGTATGGTGGATTCGGCATTTGGTTACTGTACCAATCAACTAAACTGCAATCTGTCCAAATATATTTTCCTTTAAGATCGGTGTCTAATGCAGCATATAAGGAACTTTTTGCTCCCTCTTCGGTAGTTAGAAGACCATGATGTTCAGTCATATCAGTTTTCACAAATCCTGGATAAACTGCATTGACGGAAATATTACGATTTGGCTGTTTTTCGTCGAACGCTCTCTGCTGAATGAAAGTCAGTGTCGATACAGCCACTTTTGAAACAGCGTAGGTCGATCCTCCCCAGCCGTCTTCTCTGTGTTTTTCGATTTCAACAGCTCTAGAAACAAAATAAAAATTCATTTTCAAGACAAGTTTAACAAAAACACAGCTAAGCCCGTGATCAGCGAGTATATTCGTAGATATTGCAGAATTAGTCGAAAATTCAGACACGTTCCCTAAAAAGAGCATAATATAGTTTTTGAAATATTGTTGTTAGTCAGTTTCTAACTTTAGTGCGTTTTTGTGCGACCGAGAAGTAGAAAAGACATAGGCTCTAAATTAGCGTTTGGCACTCTATTATTATATTATAAAATACAAAACTGATTACGATATAAGCTTCTACATAAAGAGCCAAGCTAACCTCCAATTCTATCCTTTGATGGGAATCATTCCTTCTACTTCTGTCATATTTCTTAAAGCAAAGTTTACACAAAGTATTTATTAAGAAACTGCAGATTCTATTAGTAATTATTAGATATAAGTAATACTTACTTGAGAAACTTCTCAATTAATTTATTGAGCTCTGGTATCGTCAAATCTTTTCTGGAAAATTCTTTTCTGAGATTCTCTGACGGAATTTTGGATAAATGCCCCTCGCAACTGGAGACGTTTACGACTTTTGCATTGTTTCTTAACAAAGGAAACAAAGCCTCGCAAACTCGGACCGTTCCAAAATAATTAGTTTCTATAGTTTGTAAACTTTGCTCAAACGTAGGATTTGGCGCTGCTGACTAAAATTAAAAAAGCTATTCTACCAAAACTTCGAGCGGTCAATAGCTAATTTGATTGTACAAATGATGTAAACGAAAAGATAATGTACATATACTTACCCAAAAGCAAATTGCTGCATTATTAATGAGCAAATCTAAACCTCCATGTTCTTTTTTAATAAAATCCCTAAATTCATCCACACTTTTTTGGTTATCGATGTCTAGCTGATGAAACACTGCTTTCAGATTTTCTTTCTCTAACTTTGCCACAGCTGATTTACCTCTTGTTACATCTCGAGCTGTCAGATAAACAAGGCCATCAAATCTTTCACATAGACCTTTGATAGTGGCATATCCGATTCCTTTATTCCCACCAGTTAACTAAAAATGTATGTATGTATTTACGTTACATTTTTTTTTATTTCCATCTATCTAATCTAATACAGTACATTAAAAGATGTCGGTAATGGAAAAGGATATGTGGATTGGCTACCTAAAAAAGCTCTATGCAGAGGAAGAACAAACGACGCTAGAACCGGAACCATAAGAAATTACCACAAATGAAGAACTTAATGTAAATGTACAGGAAGTTCGAAAAATACTTGAAAACCTTCTTCTTCTTCTTTGGGTGCCGTCTTCTTAGCGAAGGTTGGCGATGACCTCTACAAATACTTGAAAACCTGAAGAACAGAAAAGCAGCAGCTAAAGACGGGATATCAAACGAATTACTGAAATATTGTGGAGCAGCAATGACAAAACAATTTCTTCTTCTTAGAGTGCCGTCTCCCTACGGAGGTTGGCAATCATAATGGCTATTTTTATTTTTGAACTTGCTGCTCTAAACAAATAAACAGAACAATTAACAACATTAATTAATAAAAATATAAAAAACAATAAAATACCGGAAGAATTTAGAGCGAGCGAAGTATTTCTACTATTCAAAAAAGGAAATAAACTAGGGTATAAACTTGTTAAATACTACTTTAAAACTTACAACCAAAATTTTCCAAGTGCTAATAAGTCAGAGGATAAGTTTAGCAGATGAACAACAGAGTTTTCGTAGTGCAAGATCGTGTACAGATGCAATATTCGTTATAAAACAAAGTACTGAAAAATCACTAGAGTATAATAGACCAGCATTTTTGTGTCTGATTGATCTAAAGAAAGAGTTTGATGGAGTAGGACTCAAAGATGTAATCCATCTTCTGTATAATAGAGAAGTTCCTCTAAATATTATAAAAACTATCGAAAACATCTACCAAAACAACAAAATGGAAGTCAGAATACATGGACAACTCACAGAACCTATAGAAATGGGCAGCGGAATAAGACAAGGGGATTCATTGAGACCCATGCTCTTCAATTTAATCATGGATGAAATCATCAAAAGTGTTAACAAAGGAAGAGGATGCAGAACGGGAAACAAAGAAATAAAAATAGTCTGTCACGCAGACGACGCAATATTGATAACCCAAGATGAAGATAGTGTGCAAAGACTAGTCCACAGAATAACCACATAAGCAGAATGGAGGAAACCGGTGTCGTCAAAGTCATCAATCAGCAAAAGAAATATCGGACGACCTCGCATAACATGGAGTAACAACCTCCCAGAGGTATTAATCCGCCTGTAAACAAGCAGAATGGCTTATAAAGAGGAAAAAGAATAAAAGATGTCTGTCGAAGAGGTTTGCGTTCAACTGAAGCATTTTAAAAGATACAATTTGTATTGTATTTGTATATGATATGTTTTTATGTGTCAGTCCATACTATATTTTTCAAATCATTACCACTACTAAATTTATTTTTAAAAACACTTACCACAGCTACTTTTTGTGGACTCATCTTGTAATTGTGATTAAATATTTGGTTAATTGATGAAAAAATATTGATGTTTGATGATGATACTTTATAAAAAATTCTTATCTATGGTAACAGAAAGATAAAAAATTAAAAATTTATATTCAAAATGATAACAAAATTAGAAAGATATTATACTATTTTACATAAAAAAAAATGACAAGAATTTATGAAATAGGTACATGGCAAAAATGTATAGAACTTAGGGTTCAATGGAACGATTCAAGTATAGTCCTAAAAGAAACAGATTGTAAAAAGAGAAAAATTAAAGAAGCGGCTCTAATTATGCTAAAAGACCAATTGTGTTGCAAATTCTTCGGCATAATGCAGGAGGATCTGGTTATCCATATTAAAAGAGGAAGTTAATAAGAGGAAAATACCACTGTTACTAAGTCCGTAACATATCGAGGATAGATAATTTATGTTTTTTAAATAACATACATATAAAATCAAATTTTGGCGTTTATTGAGAGTAAACTAAATGTAAGACCAAATACTTACCATGTCGGAATATATTGGACTATTCCCATTAAAATAGTAATTATTGTTGTTCAGTTTCCTAGAGCATCTTCAGGGGCATTTCGTCATATTCTTTTATTGGCAATTGTACTGTTATGTCATTATACTGAACAAAAGTTTAATTTGAAAAGAATATTTAAAATGCCTCAAAACTGAAACCACGAATTGTAAGTTGCCTGTATTTGGCGTAACCAGCCTGTTTATAAATAATAATTTATGATAAAGATCAGCTATTCGAATTTTAATAAATTTGTTATGTAACTATATATGACTATTTATTTACTACAATCAACCATGTCAAGATAACAACATACTCAAGACTACAATATTATACACATGTCATTACACATCAATTTTAGACATGAGTGCACACAGGCTGTCTCGTCTATCATCATATAATATAATTTATAATAAGAATATAAAATTTGTTTTATTGTACATTCTTAGGTCATAGTATTGTACAAATCTTTCAAAACTTTGATAATAGGAGATATAAAAGTATAAACAACCTAAGCTGCAGGTATTAAACTGCCAAAAATTTAATAAAGTAAAGCAAGACCTTGAAAATTAAAATTAGATCAGATGCCAGATGTGAACCATGACCTTCAAAAGTCATACAAATATCAACGAAGATAGAAGCATATCAATATTCGTTGCAAATCATTGCAATGCAAATAATAGAATCAAGGACAAGCAGAATCGAATAACGGACATTTTAAATCGATTGAATAGAATACAGGTCTGGCTTCAGTTTTTAAAAACAGCAATATAACCAACGATGTAATGTACTACAATAAGGATTAATAAGGATAATGATAAGGATTTAACCTATGAATAAATATTTCTGATAATTTTTCGACTGTTCTAACAACCATTCAAATTTCGTCATTTTGTGTCATGTGGAACAATTTCAGCCAATCATGTCAACATTAGACTGATAATTGCATTCAGTGCAATTTTCAATCCCTATGACAACACGATCGACTTTTGACAACTTCATCCAAATAAATTTCAAAATGTCATGCCCCGCGAACTCTAGTAAAAAAAATGTTATTCTATTTAGTTTACTTCCAGGCCGTATGAGGCCGTGCAAAACGTTAATTTATGCATCATAGAACATGACATTTGACAAGCCCTGCACTGTGACCTACCGCGTCCAAAAAGCCAATTCAAAATGAAGCCTTTATAGCGTGTAGCTGTTTACGTGGTATTTGTTTGCGATTATTTTGGTTTTTGCGACTGTTTAAAAAATTATTTTCAATCGTATTTTTCGATATTTTTTTATACCCGATTAAGTGGTGTTTTTGTTTGGTTTGTGTGACCATAAGAATAGTTTATATTCATTCCTATTTTTCCATATTTTTATACACCTGATTAAGTGGTAAGATTTTTTGATTATATTGTAGATTGATTGATTTATCCATGGAACGAGAGTGTTTATCTAACGTGTTTAAAATACACATTTATTTAATTTGATTTAAGATTTTTATTTTTAGGTAAAATGCCTCCCATCAACTGTTGTGTGCAGACATGTTGGAAAAGTACAACATAGATTTCCGGATCCACAAAAGTACGCGGATCTTTTTAATCAATGGGTACATTTAGTGGGTGATAAAAACCTGTTGGATAAAGATCCTCAAAAGGTCTACACAAGTAACAGAGTTTGCTCCATTCCATGGACGTATAAACATAGATGGACACAGCAATAAGATACCTTTAACACACAATGTTTTGAAGCTTCGATAGAATGTGATGCTTCCGCAATGAGTATAAGCGTGCTTGAATTTTTACTCGCGGGTAATTATTCAGATTTTAAAAATTGGAAGTACCTAGTAATAATGTATAAAAACACGTTCAAAGAATTTAAAAAAAACGAGAATTTAACTATTAACAAATCACGTCTTTATAGAAAAATTAAAATACAATTTTATTATATCTTATTGAATACATTAATGAACATGAATAAACCCAATGGTACGCCTATTAAAATGTAAACAAACACGCTTTTTCATTTCCTCATCCTAAATAATGTAAATTTTATGTACTTACAAATGAAATGAAAGACCGGGATGTAAATATTTCGTTTATTTTATTTCACTTTTCACAAATATCACTCAAAATACAGCCAAAATTATCTAAAAACAATTTTTCCTTATTTCCTCAATCGTTGTAAACAAACATGGAATAGCATTTGAATTTTGACGTAGAACCGTAAAACAGAGAAATGTAAACAACCGTTGCCATTTATAAATAGTTTTCAGTGCTTTTAAATATAAAATAATTTATTGATATCTATTATACGCTATTATTAAATGATAATGCACACTATGTGCACACTTGATATTTTGATTACAATTAGATATATTAATATAACCAATAAATTATTATTTTGGTTTGATAGCACCTGTAGAGTATAAAATACGGAGTAATATTTTCAGTGACTCGCGAATAAGAATTTTTAATAAAAAAACGTGACAACAGTTGGAGGTGCTGAGAATGTGACATATTCAAATAATTTTGACTTCACAATTTTATGTAAATAACTGAGTCCATCTGTGTTTATACGTCCATGCTCCATTCATTTCAAAGCAGAAGATTTTGGTCCTAATAATCGACTAAAAACAGGAGTTTTGCCATCTATCAATCTGCCAGGTATATAATTAAGATTTAGATATTGAAAGTTAAGTTAGTACTGCACATATATTTTTGTTGTCATTGTGGATTTACAGTTTTTTTTTATTATTGAAACTTTAATATTGATATTGTTTTCACTCACTCAAATTTTTTATTTCAGCCTCTTTGGGTGAGATACATTTACCCCAGACAGAAAGGCCTCTACTAAAGGACATACAAAATGTCATGTCCAGCTATAGTTTCAGTGTGTCTCCAGGCACAAATTATTTATTAAACATTGATACTTGTCCTGGAACTAGTAATCAAACTCCAAAACGTAAGTATTTCTATATTAGAATTTAATATGATTGTAAACAATAAAACAACCTTGTTAAATGAAATGCATTTATTAAGACATTTTTGTGCAATAAGTTTAAATATTTTATCCAATTATAACCTGGCCCTCTAATACCATATCTGTAAAGCTTTTCCATTAGTATTTTGTGATTTAAAGTATCAAATGCCTTTGATAAATCTAAAAATATGCCCATGGATATATCTTTGTTTTCATAACCCCCATTTATCTTTGTTATAAAATCATAAATGACAGTCTCTATAGAATTTCTGTTAAGGTACCCATGTTGTGCATGGCATAACAGTCCCTTACTATAGAAAAAACTGAGAAGCCTGTCACACATGACTGTTTCAAAATCCTTTCAACTGAGACTGAGCAAGAATTTACATGTCTATAATTCTTTAGATCACATTTATCCCCTTTTTTGTGAAATATTGTTACTAGACTATCTTTCAAGTCTTTAGGGATCTTGCTATTATGGAACCGTCTATTAAATACCTGTTATTATAGGGATGGTTAGTGGCTTACTTGTTTTCAAGAGCTCGGCAACTATACCGTTGGGTCCTGGAATTTTATTATTTTTCAGCTCTTTTAAAGCTCTTTCTATTTCGAATCTTTTTATATTTGGTATGACTTCTGATAAAAATTTCTGGTAAAATAAATAAATTTTAACAACATAATAATTATTGACGTAAATCTTCATTTTATAATTCAAAATTTACAAACTAAATTTAAACAGTATACTCTGTAACATGTAACATTATATAAATAAATAATTAAGAAAGAAAATTTTGTTGTGTTTTATCTTGATTGTTCACTCGATGAAAATATCTATTGGAATAAAAATGTTCTTGATGTTGATTGGATAGTATGCTCAAGGTGAGTGAGCGGTAAATTTGAAAGACTTACCGTACAGCTTGTCCATCGAGCAAAAAGACAATAGAGGGAATATAAAGGTAGTGGGGGCAAACATATTGTTAGACAGGAAGTGCGATCTTTAGAGGCCACATTAAACAAGGAAAGAGAGTCTCTCTCCTTCTTTGACATCAAATTTAGTTTGGTTATGTTATAGTTCGTCCCAACTGTCACATGAAATTTTATTTATATTGAAGTTTTTTTACCAATTATGTCACTTTTTAGACTATTATCGTTAATATTTAATTAAAACTTTCTTGTCTGAAAAATATTTTACAGGTATTGTTAACAAGTATTGGAAAATTTAAATTTAGCGCCTTTGCATTTCCGGATATGTCCGCCATCAGAGGCCACTTTTTTGGTCTCCTTTTCATAACGCTTAGATTCCCTCTTTTATCTTTTTGCTCGATGAGCTTGTCACGCAGGGGAGCTATACTATACTATATATTATATCATCCGCTCTTTATTGGTGAGCCTGCATACACGGAACCATTAGTTCCGTCTATGCAGGCTCATTTATTATTATAGAGAGCGGGTATGATATAATATAGCATAGCTCCCCGTATGTGACAAGCTGTACGGTAAGTCTTTCAAATTTACCGCTCACTCACCTTGAGCATACTATCCAATCAACATCAAGAAGGTTTAAAATTTCACACCTATCATGTAGGAGCTACTATCCAATCAACAAGAACGTTTAAAATTTTGCACCTATCATGTGGAAGCCACAGACCAATTATGTGAAGGCCATATTATGGTATACTTCCAGGCCGAGAGGTGGCGCTGAAATACGTGACATATTTTATGAAGAGTAAGATCACCGAACAACCGATCACCGTTGTTCGGTGGTAAGATCGCATTCTACCTAACCTTCTTACCTATGCAAAATGTCACGTTTCGGCAATGAGAATGTTCAAAGTATAAATGCGCTAATCAAAGAAAAAATTCCCAGAAATACAACATACTAAAAATCAGAATTCTATAAAACCATACTTGAATCTCGATCAAGAACACCACAACAAGATTATAAATATTATGCGTGGTAATACATCTTCTATAGTACAGAACAGCAACGAATCTAATGTTAACTTAAATTTTAATAATTGTACTTTCACTAACTGTATAATCCGACAAGCGAGAGCTGGCGGGTGTCTCGAAAAGGAATTATTCTAAGAGAGATAGGAGAGGTACTTAAACGGTTATACACGATGTGAACTCCTAGCCGACTGCAATAGAAATGAGCAATTCCTTCCACTTTTTAATTTGTTCTACGCGCAACCCGCCAGCTCTCGCTTGTCGGGTTATACTTTTAATAAATAAATGTTTCGTTATGATTTTTTTTTCGAAAAATTATCCGCCGAAGATCCCTCGGACATTGATGAATGCCTCATAATTTCATGACAAATTTCTCAAGCTCGTTGCTTGGTAACAGCACTCAGCCTTCGACTTCGTGCTGTTACCAAGGAACGAGCTTTCGATTGTCATGAAATTATCTCGTCTGTTATCAATGTCCTAGGGATATTACTACTGATAACTGTCCTGCCTGAACTGATAACAACTCTTGTTTTCGGAATGTCGGTGGTTTAAAATTTTATTATTTTTATGTAATTGATCCCGAGAGAGAAATTTCACAAAACTGCAAAAAATAAGCCTCAAATTTAAAATATGGTGTAACATCTATTCCTAAAGTTTTTTGTTAATTCTAATTTCATAAATTGTTCTTCAAAATTGTAGATTATAATAATTCTTGTTAAAAAACTTTTTTTAGTGATAAAATTATGTCGTTATTTTATGTTGTTATCCGTATATGATATTACGGATAACAACAATGATTTACAGAACGTAATGCAACGCCTTAATGAACGCTGTCATGAGAACGGACTGAAGATAAATTTAAAGAAAACTAAATGCATGATCATGACTAAATCTGCACATGCAAATATCCAATTGACTATTGAAGATACTGCAATTGAGAGTGTTAATAACTATAAATACTTAGGAACATGGATAACATCAGATGTAGACCAAACCAAAGAAATTAAGACACGTATTGAAATAGCACGTACATCATTTATTAAACTTAAAAAGTTTCTTTGTTGTCGGGATATAAGGTTAGAACTACGCCTGAGAATGCTTCGATGTTACGTGTTCTCTACTCTTCTTTATGGTCTGTAAGCTTGGACACTAAAACAAGTTCATCTGAATAAGTTGGCCGCCTTTGAATTTTGGTGTTACAGAAGAATCCTACGAATATCATGGACTCAAAGAATGTCAAACATGGAAGTAACTAGAAGGATAGGAAATGAGGCGGAAATAATACTAACTATTAAAAGACGAAAACTTGAGTACTTGGGACATGTGATGAGAGGGCAAAAATACGCATTATTACAACTTATTATGCAGGGCAAAATCCGAGGAAAGCGAAATGTGGGAAGACGAAGAATATCCTGGCTTAAGAACTTAAGGGAATGGTTTGAATGCAGTAGTGCAGAACTTTTTAGAGCGGCAGTCAACAGAGTCCGCATAGCCATGATGATTTCCAACCTTCGATAGAAGATGGAACTTAAAGAAGAAGAAGTGATAAAATCATATCACAAAATATTTGTTTTCAGCTGTAACAGTGAAACCCAAGTACACAGACGACGAATTGCAAAACTTGGCTGATAATGATGTGAATGAACTTTTTGAAGAAATTCTCTACGATCAGGCATATAGAAGGGGATAGTGATACTGAATACCATTTCAACAAGTACACCACTTAGTACCCGTAATTACTATTTAAATGGGAATAAGCCACAATTAAAGGTTAAAATTAGTTTATTGACGTTTCAATTTCCATTTCGGAAATTGTTCTCAAAATACAAACATTAGTAAATTAAATAAATTTTGTTTTTTTTTGTTACCTAGTGAAAAATTCTTCCAATAATTTAATTTTATCTGACTGATTTAACTTGGTCTAACATTTAATGGCCTTGATGTTTCACCTAAATAAAACTGATCGCATTCACAAGGTATTTTATAAATGCAATTCTTTGTCCTTTCTTGTTCATTGTTAGGTTTGGTTTTAGACAAAATAGATCTCAATGTGTTTGTTGTTGTGAATATTGAATCTATTTCCTATTCTTTTAAGTTTTTCTGATAATCCTACAGGGTTCTAGTAGACTATATTTTAGTCCTATACTGATACATCAGACTTATGTAACTCCTTAAATAAAGCATATCTGTTCTATTATAGATTTTATAAAAATGTCTACTAGATAAAAAGTTCAAGATAATCAATAATTACAATAGACTATTTTTTTCTCAAAATATCTTTTTATTAGAATATTAAATGCATGCAATAATACAATTTGTTAACAGTCAATAATAGTGGCGAATTTAGTATGGTGGATTTGGCCTTTCCTTGCTGTACCAATCAACCAATGTACAATCTCTCCAGATATATTTTCCCTTCCAATCAGTATCCAATGCAGCAAATAAGGTACTTTTGGCGCCTTCTTCGACACTTAAAAAACCCTTATGGCTTGTCATGTCAGTTTTGACATACCCTGGATGAACCGCATTGATTGTAATATTACGATTGGGTTGTTCTTCATCGAACAGTTTCTGTTGGATAATGGTCAGTGCTGTTACACCTACTTTTGAAACAGCGTAAGTGGAGTCTCCCCAACCATCTTCTACGTGTGTGTTGTTTTCTGTAGCTCTAAAATCAAAAATATACTGTTACATGTTAGTTCCCTTTGCTACCTCGCTGGTCGAAAATTCGAGTAATGTGTTACCTGAACTACTAGTGTAGCAATTCTAAATAATTCGAACATTCGAAGCGAGAAATAGCGACTTCGAGAAATTTCCGGGCATTGAAGTGGACAATATAAATGCAGATACATTAAACTGTAGAGTTAGTCGATAAAATAAATTTCTAGAGTTAAGTAATAAATGTTATCAATTGATTGTGTTTTTAGTGTCAGCGTTAAAAGACGTAAATAAATATATTACATACAAATATTAAACATATAAACATTACAGTATGTTATCGCTCACACAACTGTGAAATGAATGATATGTGATGAATACTTACTTTACAAACTTTTCAAGTAATTTATTGAGTTCCGGTATGGTTAAATCTTTTCTGGAAATTTCATTTCTAAGATTCTCTGACGGTATTTTAGACAGATGTCCCTCAGAACTGGAAACATTTACAACTTTTGCGTTATTTCTTAACAAAGGGAACAAAGCTTCACAAACTCTTAGAGTTCCAAAGTAATTGGCTTCTAAAGTTTTTGATGCTTGAACAAATGGAGATTCTGTAGCTGCATGCTAAAATAGAGAATATCATATATCAGATATATATGAAAATAATTTAAAATAATACTCACAGGAAAAGCAATTGCAGCATTGTTGATTAGCAGATCCAGACCTCCATGTTCTTTTTTAATAAAATCCCTTAATTCGTCTACACTGGCTTGGCTATTGATATCCAGTTGGTGAAACACTGCTTTCAGATTTTCTTTTTCTAGCTGAGCTACAGCTGCTTTACCTCGTTGTACATCTCGAGCTGTCAGATAAACAAGGCCATCAAATCTTTCACAGAGGCCTTTGACAATAGCATATCCTATTCCTTTATTTCCACCAGTTACCTAAGAATTGCAATGTTTATTAAAATTTAAAAAAATTAAAGGAATCAACAGCCAAAGCTATTTCTACTTCTGAAGTTATGCTGTTTTTATGCTTAAATTTTGCAATTACATAGGTAGGTATTTAAGGAGGAACCTAGTAGAAATCAAAGACAACAATACAATCACACAGACAAGCAGAATATGCAAGTAGCCACCAATACACAGGAAGATGACAAAAAGACAATATCCAGAGAGATCAGGAGTTTCAAAAAATCACAAATGTGAAATATAAAGTAGAACTTCTACAACAATTTAGTATTCGAACACTATATCAAAATAAACTATAGAATATACTACAGATAAACTAAGAATGAACCCCTACAGAAATGTATTAACACCTAAAGTAAAAATCAATGGCAGGCAAGTGAGGGTATTGAATAACAAAAGAATAAATATTTGGAGAAATACAGTGACAAAAATAAAGGAAAAAAGATATGTTTCATAAATGGCTAAACTACTGAGTTTACCAGACATTTGGAACTGGATTAAATGAACAGAGTGTACCTAGTATTGTCAAAAAATTAAGAAAATGCTATTCCTAATTAGGCCAAAAAGCAAACCTTGAAAAGTAAAAGCTGTTAAAAATTTTAATTCGGATAATTTATATTTAATTTTTTCAAATTTCAATCCTCTTTCATTATGGTGTAGTAGGGTAACTTCTAGATAACCCTTATTTTGAAGAAGCTGTTTTACAGCAACCTATAATCATTACATTGAAAGTTCTAGATCAATTTAAGGATAATCTACTGTGTAATCAGCACAATCTTCAACAAGCAAGTTCCTAGTTGAAAATGACAATGTAATTTTTAGCAGTATTGTTTCAAAAAATAAAAGCAAATTTTGTAAGTACACAAAAAAGTTGCCAAAGGTGCAAATTGGTAACTTTAAATAAGTGAATTTGATACAAAACAGGTTAACGAAAAAATTGTATCTCCCTCACACATAATAACAAATATTTCTTCTGCAGAATATGTGTTTATGTCTCACATTTAATTGACATTTTTCTGCTATAGTATAGTGAAAAAAAAGCTTTAATCCAATGTATTAATTGTATTAATGAGTATGCGGAACCTACAATTGAGGTTCCTACAAATAATGCAATCATAATGATTAAAATAATATTTAAGAAATCTTTCCCATTAAAAAACAAGTTTTAGAGAATCATTGTAATCGTAATTAACTAAATTTTAAGAATAAACAATGTGCTAAATTGTAATACTGTGATTATTAAATTTTAATTGAAATAGAAAAGAAATTAGTTAAAAAAACTACAAATTTTGGCTAAGATTTACCCCAATACACCTTACCAATAATGAACTATTTGTAGATCCAGTTTTAAACTCATAAATTTAACCTATTTAATAAAATATAAATTTATTAAAAAACTTACCACAGCAACTTTTTGCGAAGTCATCGTGTAATCTTGACAAAAACGAAAATAGTAATGCTCGGAACTGACTTCAAATATATATACTTTTTACCGGAACCTTGTCTAAGATAGCAAAGAGATAAAAATATACCTACTTATATTATAGCAAAGTTTAATCAAAGAATATAGATAAGCGTCTATATTATTTGGTTTAATGGTTAAAAGAATCAATATAATGTACGTATACTTCAAAGTGAAGTTTTATTTTAAATGTACACGTGTATTTACGATTTCATCAATACAAACAAATGACTAGATGTTAAATTTGAAAAATAGAGAGCAATATAAACAACTTCCTAGCTTTATACAAAAATAGGCTTTTTAAATACTGTTAAATTAAAATTGAATCACCATAAATGGATAAGCTTATTTACGATATTGACAATATAAATATTCTATAAATTTTTATATTGATAAGTACCCTATTTTTAGACTTAAACAAGGATAGGATTATATTACATAACATAATTTTAATAAAAAATGGAAAACTATTCTTATAATCGATATACACAAGTGCAACAAGGAATCGATACCAGAAATATTTTACATTCGAATCCAATATTTCGATTACAGAAACAGGGTAGGTTTTAGTAAATCTGCACATTTATTATTATGCACATTAATAAACTATGTTTATTCCTTATTTAATTGTTTATAGTGTTTAACGAAAAATGTAGATAAATATGTTTTAAAATATTGTAAGAACATTTTCTCAATGTTAAAAATGAAAAAAAGTATTTTTAGATCTACGACGACAAACGTACATTTGACATTGACGTCTTCACAGTATATACCACAAATAGTAGTGTAAGTGGAGTAGAAGAAGCAGTGAGAGAGAGTTGCATGGGTCCAGCCGCTAGTAATGGAGACGGCGCTACTAGTCACGTAAGGTGATGTATGACAGCAAGAGGATTACGACGTTGACGTACGTGCTGTTGCCATGGTTTCACTAGTTTTGCATATTTACCCAAATCATACCCAAATAATGATTATACTATACAATGTTTTTCAAAAAACAAAGATTGTAGCAAATTCTACTAAAATTACAACTTAAATTCACAATAATAACTTATTTCTAAAGAATTTTAAGTATCCGCCAAAAAAAAAGTATTAGTGGCAACATTGAAATCACTTGCAAATGGCGTTATAAAAACATTTGAGAAATATGAGATAAAATAGTATACATTAATATGTATATTTCTAATAAACAATAATTGCATTCCTAAAAGTTGCCTTATTTTATAAAAATGTCATACATTCTTAATTTTAATAATATTTAAATATTATAGATTTTCCTGGACATTTTACTTCTGAGCATTAGTTACAATTTACATACTAATTTGTGATGATCCTGAAGAGCAAGATCACGGAAATGCTAGAGTTTACACATTATTATCTACAGCTGCAGGTGGTCCTTTAAGGAAGAGTATTTTAGACGATATGGAACTTATAACAAACCAGTACTATTGAATACAGAGAGAGGTATACTCGGTTCGCTAATGCCAGTCCGAACTGTCTAGTGATTTTAGTATTATGTTTTTACGAAGTTCGTTACTTTTTGACAGACTAGAAAGTGGCTGGAAATTATTATACAACCAAGTACACGTGCTCATAGCGCATTTCATTAGAGTATTTCGTCGACCTCTTTTGCAAACTTATACTATGAATTAGAAATTTATAGCATGTATATAGAATGTAAGTTTCTATTATATATAAAAAATATATTTTATAAGAAAAGTTACGGTAATTTAGTTTATATCGTTTGGTTGCGCCAAATGTAGGCAACCAACTTAAACTTTTTGTTGGCATTTAGCTAGATTTCTTGAGAATATATTTTCCAGTTAATTTATTATTTTTTTAAAACTGATGATAATAATGCTGAATAAGCAATATTTCAAATGATATCTAATCACAGGACGTACTTAATATTGTGTTATAAAGTATCAATAGAAAAATATAATCCAATATCATCAAAAATATAATTAAAACAAATCATAATCTTCTATTATTCCTATTAGAAACTAGTTTTGGACGGCCCGGGATTTTACCTTTTTTATCTAACGTACTTTATTATGAGGATTTTACTATAACAATATTAAGTACGTTTTGTGATTAAATATCATTTGAAATATTACTTATTAGACATTATTATCACTTTTAAAAAATAATAAATTAACTGGAAAATAATAGACGTTCATTAAAAACATTCTTAAGAAACTCCAGCTAAATCCTAACAAAAAGTTTAAGTTGGTTGCTTACATTTGGAGCAACAACGATATAAACTAAATTACTGTAACTTTTATTTAATTTTTGACGCCATGTCAAACTGAACTGAATGTTAACTGAAATGTTTTTGTTATTAAGACCATATTTACATAATTTTATAAATATATTTTAATTATCCACCTACGCCGAATGGGCAAATAATTAAACAAAATGGTTGGTGTTTTGAATAAATCTTTGTGCAGTTTGATTACCTCGTAATTTAACAGCATCCTTACTCATCTAAAAATATTAACTTTTAAAGAACATTTATCATATTTATATTTATTCAAGAAAAACTTACTAACGCATTATCTGATAGAACAAATGGAAAACTTTGACTATCTCTAATAATAAAATTCAAAATATAACTAACAAAGAATTAAACAAAAATAATGGAACAATAAAATTATAATAAACAACGCGAATAATACAAATATTTACTACAATATGTTAAATTGTAACAACTCAAATATTATATTTTAAATATACAGGGAAAATTTTATGGGTTTAGTATACACTTCCACTATTTGGAATAATTCTTCTTTTTTTAAAGGAATAAGTCTGCAATAGTAGTATATTTGAGCTATTAATACTGAGAAGTAGGAATTTTTGTGTTGTAGGTTTCCGACAATGAATCTGTCAAAATATGCCCGAGCTAAGCGAATGGAGAATATCTATATTTGTTTATTAATAGCAAGGTCCCAACAGGTTAGGAAGATTAAATGAACAAATGAAGATTGGTGGAAAAATTCTTACATGAAGTTCTCCATCTGATATAGGATTGCAGCCAGCTAACAATATTTAGAGTGTCCCCACCCACACCCTGACAAAGACTTAAAGCATGAGGTGGAGGTGTATTTTTTTGTTGCCAATACCACAAATCCAATATTTTATACTTTACCAAAGAAAATTTTACAAATAAACAAGTGTCAGGATATCTGTGTTTAATTTTGTTGTTTTTTCCTTTACCGTACCATACTCTCTATCTGATATTTTGTTACACATTTATGTATAAAAAGGCGTGAGTGACAGAGAGAATATATTTCTTGACATAGAATAAGTTTTTATTTCTTATTTTATGATTAAATTTATTGTCCATCAAAAGCATACTTTTTGAATTTTGCAGCCCAAAATTTGGAGCATATTTTTTAAATTTGTCGCCTAAAATAATTCAGAACCAATCTTTTAAATTTAAAGCCAAATGAAATTAGTTTCGGCCCGTCCGCATTTGGCGCTAGAAACTCTCACCCAAATTTTTCTATAGGACTTACATTTCTAGAGGGCTATATACCGTGGACGTCTTTACTGACAGTCTGCTGACAGTGACAATACCATGCGATCTTTTTAAAATAACACGAAGTTTTTAAAATAGTCATCTATTTCATATTTTTTAAATCATGAGTGCCGTAAAATTAAACGGTGAACATAAAGTCAACGGGTCTGATTTGAAAACGCCCTTTCTAATAGGAGTTGCCGGTGGTACAGCCAGCGGAAAGGTAATATCGATTTTTATTTTTGTTCAAAAATAAATATTTTTTATTTACAGAGTACAGTATGTAAGAGAATAATGGAAAAACTGGATCAAGTTGAAGTAGACCAGAAGCAGAGACAAGTAGTGTGTATATCTCAAGATAGTTTTTATAGAGAACTGAGCCCATCGGAAATTATTAAAGCTGAAAAGGGACAGTTTAATTTTGATCATCCAGATGCATTTAATGAAACCCTAATGTATGAAGTTTTGGTTGATATTTTGGCTGGTAAAATGGTTCAGATACCCACTTATGACTACAGGAATCATTCCTTGTAAGTAATTTTTAAATTCTTTAACAATAAGAGTCATTATAGGCATTTTTATTTGTTGACATAAGAAAGATGCTGCTTCATTATCTAACCATTTATAATACAGATAAAAAGTTCAAATAAATAACATACTTGTTCATTTGCTCCAAATATCAGAGGTCAAATTTGTTGAATAAATATTTGTTATGTACAATAATTATTCTAACTTTGCATTTGTTCATTTATTATGTTCTATTGGAATGGAATCTAATGCAATACTTATTATGTTTGCTTTTTGCTCAGTTAAATCAGTTGAATTTTATCATGTAGGAATTCAAATTGTTTCTGAATTGTTATATGTAGTATAAATATATCATAGAACAATGTCTATAGATATAAATAGTTTTCACCTTTCAACCCATCTAATATATTGCTGTACCCACAGTACAGGTGTTAAAATTGTGTGTTATTCAATACTTAGTTCCAAATAAACAAATGATTTGTAAGTCCATTTGGACTGCCATTTTTGTGTATTTTAATACTCAGAGTATCCAGATCCATTAGATCACTAATATTTGAAATGAATAGGCACCAAAAGAAGAAGAAGTGCTATATATAGACTTGCCTTAATATTTTCATTCTTACTTAATCTTTTTTGTCTTTCTACTCATCAGTTTAAGTGGATTGTTTGCACTGCATGCAACTGTTGTCCTCAGTGGGGCTTGTGTCAACTAAAAGAGTAGATTTACAGTAGGTAAATTTACCAGGTATCTTATGGATGAACAAGAATTTTGTGTTGTTTTTTGGGCACACTTTCATTAAAATTAACACTTATGGAAAAAAGGAAAGGAATAACAATATAATGTCATAACAAACTGATTACAAGAACAAAACTAACAAAATATAAAAAATTTTAAGGGTAACATGTGCACTTCATATTTTTAAATCATAACCAATAATAAAAACCCACCAGAATTTTCATCAAGCAGTAATTTATGGCACTTCAAAAGTTTTTATTAAAATGAAAATTTACACTGTTGAAGCATATTTGAAATCTAGTTTTTGTTCTGTTTCACTAGCAAAACAGTTAATAACCCATTTATTAAAGTCTTTAATGTTGTTGAGAAACACTTTTTCAGCTGATAAGATTCCCAATGCACTTAGTCTTTCTTCATTCATCAAGTTGCATTAAAAAGTTTTTATCCTTTTCAACATAGGGAAACATCTTTTAGTTTGGTATGTTGACAAAATGTGTTAGAGCCACAGTTTTAACCTTGTTTAGGCTTGCACCTGTTCAAAGAATGGGGTACTCCTTTTTTTCGGAATAATGCTAGTGTGGTAAATAAGACGAATGTTGTATTGGCGGAGAAGTAGTGGACTGCTAAGAAGCACGGGGGTTCAGAAGGTGGCGTGCCTGTGTAGATGATTGTAAGGAGCGCACAAGAGGAATTAAGAGAACTTTGCCAAGCATGTCAGACCAGGTACTCTAAGGGTTACCAGCCATACAGTAGGAACGGCTCTTTATCGGCATTTTTGGTATGCAGTAGTTAACTGCGATATTTGGTTGGGAATGATTCTAAATCTTGTCCTTGGTGATTGCATGGCGTCTTTAGTATTTGTTTGGCTCTGTTGTTTGAGCTTGCAATGGTTCTTAGGACATACTTCCTGCTGAGGGATAGGATTCTGTCCTTAATTGGTGGGATATTAGCCGGTGTATACATGCTTTGTATTCGATGATGGGTCTGATGAATGTTTTGTAGGTGTGCAATAAAGTTTTGGAAGACATCTTGGTCAGTTTACTGGACAACACTGTCAGAAGATTATACCTCTTTCTCACCCTGTCTAGGGCATCTTGAATGTCAGTTTTCCAGTTGAGAGTCCTATGAAAATGAACTCCAAAATAGGAAACTGGGTTTCTGAGAATAAGCTCCTCTCCCAATAGGGTTATTTGGCTCTGGACACTGCGACATTTCGAAGTTTTAAATAAAATTGCTTGTGTTTTGGGGGGATTTATGGCCACTTTCCATTTATTGCACCTCCTAATGACTATCAAGGTAGTTTTGTGCTCTGTAGAATACAGATATCCACTCATGTTCTTTGTGTGATCCTGAAGTGAGGAGGGCAGTATCATCACCATAAAGCAGAAGGGACTCTGATCTTTGCTGTGGGCGGGGGTGTCACTGTTGTAAACTGTGTATAATATTGGTGCCACAGGTTGGACATAGGTGTAGTCACAAAAACTTCCAGCAGCTTAACAGTTTCTTTTAGAGTAGAATATAATTTCTTCCCTTGAAAGTAATAATAAAAGAGGAACAGCTTCAGAAATGGTTGCAGTTCTTGTCTTTCATATAGTACTTACAGTTCTGTTTTTAACGCTTTTTTTCCTAGAAATTGATATTTGTTACCACTATCAGAAAGCAATTTGTCTGTAAAGTCTTTTTGATATTTGTTAAAATGTTCTTTCAGAAATAATGCGGTAGCTACCAGATGTCCTGTAAAAGTAAATTGAACAATGATCTGTTCTAAAATACACATTTCAACTGTTGCAAATAAACTACATTTTAACAACAAATTGTATTTAGAAGTAATTGTTTACTTCGTTTTCCAGGAGCAAAGACGAGATTTTAACCATATATCCGGCAGATGTAGTTCTTTTTGAAGGCATTTTAGTATTTTACTTTCCGGAAGTTAGAAAACTATTCCACATGAAACTTTTTGTAGATACAGATTCAGACACCAGGTTAGCTAGGAGAGGTAAGGTATTATTTAATTTTTACAGATAATTCTTGACTCTTTGGACATAGTATTGATTTATACAGTATACAGTGACTCGACCACCTTTTTATTACTGTTAATTTTTAATAACAAAAAAACTATTATTGCAGCAAATGTCAAATAGTATTGGAGAAACTATTGGAATCTAATAAATGCCAGTATATTTTGATACCCCCTATATATGTTCGGTTTATTGGTTTGTTAACCGAAATATTTGACAAGTCAACTAGTCAACTGTATATTGCAAGACTGTTTCTGATTACATCACAGATGGTATACACTTTTGTTCAGGTGATACATAGTTCCAGAATCCTCAAGTGGCTGGATTCTGAAATTATGTACCAGAGATGGAGGATGAGATGTATGAATGGATGATAAACCAATTGGCTGTAGTATGACCAGCTTACTTAATTGTCTGAGATATTAATGATTAAGTTATTCACCTGATGGAATTAATAATACATAATACGAATCCTTTTTGTCATCCATCCTTTGTATTAAACATCCTCTCATGCATTAAATATCAGGTGAAATGAATAATCTCGCAGGCTAATCCATATCTGCCTCTTAGATTCGACATAGTTGATATATATTATATGAAGCATTAAGATAGTTGTGGGTTATTATAAAATAGATATATAATAGATATATATATATATATATATATATATATATATATATATATATATATATAAATAAAATAGAATCGAAATTATTCAGTGACATTCAATAAGTTTTGGTTATTGACAAGCTTTGATGACGATTCACATTAAGGACATCTAAAAACATCATCAATACCAGAAATTGCAGAAAACATACAGAATATTGTATTGGAAAATTGTCGAGTGATTGAAAAATATTTAGTAGAAGTACACTGGACAGTTTAAGCAATATTTTGACTGAAGTGTTGGGTTTTAGAAAGTTGAGAACAGCTTCAAGAGTAGCAAGAATAGCACCAGCCCTCAGAACAAACAACTTAGGCAAATATATTAAAAACAACAAGAGCCAAAAGAAAAAGCACTTATGTACAACAAACTTTAATGTGGTGACTGCCCAAAAACTTACATCAGTCAAACTGGTAGAACTTTTAACAAACATATAGCAGAACATAAAAGGGCTTTTAATAATAGAAAAACAGATTCTACATACGCACTTCACTTTCTAGACCATAATCATTCTTTTAATGACCAATTTCAAATTCTTCACATTTAAAATAAAGGCCTATCTTTATAGGTATCTATGGAAATTAACAAATTAAAAAATACAGATGCAAGTCTGAATGACCAATATGAGACAAACACTTCTCCCCTCCTTAACTTATTCAGTTGAGGATCATAAAGTATAAATGCATAAACACCATGACGTTTGCTATATTCATTGAAGGTACTAGTTGTTACACATTTCAATATAATTGCGGTAGAGGCGATGGTTGAGGATGACTGCCTTATACAATTTTTCGTAAATTATTTAGGTACATTAATTGTATTCCTTTTGTAGTTCCGCGTGATATTAATGAAAGAGGACGAGACCTGGAACAAGTACTTAATCAATATATGAACTTCGTAAAACCTGCATTTGAAGAATTTTGTTCACCTGTAAGTATTCTTTTTGATTTTTTTTAAAACTAACAGTACGCTAGTAGATATATGTCATTTATTCTTAAATAGTGACGCGTCATCCAAATTGACGTTTTCAGTTGACACAGTGTTGCCATATTGTCGGGAGTGTAGAGAATGTAGGGAATTATAAAGAATGAAAAAGGAAGATTATAATAATAATTATTACCAATTCATCTGTTTAGGTAAATTAATAAATTGAAGTTAAGAATCAGTGTTATTAATTTTAAATACAAAACAAACTTCTACTTAACAAAATGTTCATAGTGAATATCGTTTTTGTATCTCAATTTTCAATAAGGTTGTTTGATAACAACTGGAGAGTTAAACGATGCCCTCAAAAGATCGAAAAACGGTATCGATTGTATTTCTGCGATATTCTATAAAACCACTTTCATTAAATCCTTATTAATAAATGTTCACTTAACGTAACTATGTACTTAAAATTAATAATGTAGTTTATATAAATTAATAGCTTTGGTTAATCAACAAAGTATCTTTATTATGTATAAAAACATTTTAGGAAATATGACCATTTATTTTATTCACGAATATTCTATTAAAAACTTAAACTTATCTTCACATATCTTAGTCTACCCTGAGTTTGACCCTGCTTATTTTACAAAAGTAGCGCTATTTACAATGGTAGTAGAATTGGCAACGCTGTTATCCTATATAAACTGTCATCTTAATGTGATTTCCACTATAGTAAATTTGGCAACACGACGAGTTTACTTTGAATACTTATTGTTACTGTATTGGTGACTGATTTGGCTAGATAACTATCTATAGTCTATCATAAAAATGATTTAATTGTATTCCTACGCAATTTGCCCATATACTGATTACCTATATTTTTATAGACCAAAAAGTTTGCCGACGTTATTATCCCCAGAGGTGCTGATAATAGTGGTGAGTACTACTTTCATTATTTATAAACTGACTGTGCTTTAATTTTGAATGATAAATGCCTTTAATCTATTTTTTGTGTACACATAATGAAAGAAATTCGAAAAATATGCATGACCGAATAAATTTCTTCGTACTTGTCGAATATGAGTATCATGATAGTACTGGCAAATTCATTGAAAAGGGAACAATTAGGTTTAGAGGTGGTTGGAATCGGATCAATATAATTTATTTTAAGATATTATTTCACAATGTAACAGCATTGATTATAAACCACTACCTAGATAGCTCACCTCGTGGTAACCGAAAGACGTATCAAAAACTAGATGGCGTTACTCGAAAACCGTATCGAGATTCTCATTCTCTCTCTGACTTGCGAAGAGATAGGAGTGGTGTCAGGGCCGAACTTACCCTATAAGTGTATTATCTGTGTCTAGTGTTGTGACAGGACAAGTTATAGCTAAATTTTATAAAAAAAGGACTCACATTTTAGATAAAATGGCCTGTGTAACGCATAAATGTGTTTACGCGGGATGTTTTGAAAGAAACGATGGAACAAATAATATATCTTTCTTTAAATTTCCGCTGAAAGACGTAGAGCGCACAAAAATTTGGCAAAAAAACTGCGGGAACAACGACAACTACACCCGATTTGGGCGTCGAAACGTTAATAAAATGAATATTTTAGTAAAATTGTGGCTTATTTCCCATCAAAACTAGATAAGATCTCGATTAACAAACATTTTTTTCATTGTTATAAATGCTTGTCTTGCAATTTCAATGCGTGTCCTGATTTCTCTAATAAATACCTTGGTCATTGTTTTTATTGTATTATTATAATGATCTGTAAGTTTGATTTGTTCAAAGGGCTTATTTTTTAACAATTTTTTTTAATTTTGAAAAAAATGCTTTTTTTTTCAAAACAACTTAAAATTATTAGTGACACCAAAAATCACAAAGAGTAAAAAAATGTAGGTTTTGCTTTTCTGAATATTTTGGTCATAACTTGCTTACTCTTTATGCAAGAAACTTAACAAAAATAAACCTTTTTTAAACATTTTAAAAAAAGTTGTAATGAGTTTTCGTCGAAAAGTGCTTTAATTTTTTATTATTTCACGTTGAAATATTCAACATGGAATTTGACGAATAAGAACCTATTTTTCAATAACTCGAAAAGTATTGACAAACTTTATATAACCAAAGTTGCTTAGAATTACTGATTTTAGGCACTTCCAAACTTATCTTAAACATATATTTTTTCACTCCCGATAAGGGGTGATACTAATCCATAGGGCAAAAGCATAATCTATTTTTCTTTGACATCTTAGTTAGGCGTAAGCCAAATTTCATGTCAACCCAAGCGATTCTTTAAAATTATGAGGTTTTGCAATATTTTACCGTGAGTGAATGGACTAAATCTGGAAATAAATTCTGTATATTTAGCTTGAAATATTTTAGTTTGCATCAATTATGGAAATTAATTTGCTTGAAAAGTTATAAAAAAGTAATTTACATGAGATGTAATTTATCACTGCTAATTTTATTATGTATTTTACATATATTTTGTTATTTTTTTGTATTGTGTTGATAAATGAATAATTTTTAGAAAACCTTTGCTGTTTTTATTAATCAATTTTTAGCGTTTTTTCTGAATTAAAATCGGAATTTCATAATATAGATTACAAGCAAGTTAAAATTATTTGTGAAAATGCTGCGTGCCATCCTTATATCGTCCTCTATTACACTAGAGAATTGGCGGAGCATGGGACTTAAATTTATTTTTCAATCTTGGCAAATATTTCAATGAATGTCGTCACCATACAGTCAGGTAGTACTTAGGCATGAGGGGCAAAGAGGTGTAAGTGGGCGGAGTTTAACACTGAATTCGTTTTTACCTTAGAGTGAGCTATCTAGGTAGTGGTTTATAATCAATGGTAACAGTACTGTTAGTATGGTATTTATAATAAGTTTGTTTTAAGGCCTTAAACCGTTATTCATGGAATTGATTTCTTATAATGATTTATTTATTTCTGGACAGCGGTAGGCATTTGGTAGTAACGAGAATTGGGAAGAATTTTTTTAATATTCTGTAGACTTAAGATTCATGTTCCACATCATCGTCATCGAAATCATAGCGCCTAGTGAAACTCGATAGCAATAAATCAAGTCCAGGTAGGGGTAATTAATAAATCAAGTCCAGGTAGGGGTAATTAAGTGTCTTATGTAGATCATGACGACAACAGCCATTATAACGATGTGGACATCTATGGTCGATATGGGTGTAATTATAGCAACCATCAGCAGCTTTATAGTCTACAAAACAGCCACACCAAGGCTACACACTGGGAGAACTAACTGGGAAAAATACCGCAGCAAATTAGAAGAAGATATTAGTCTACAAGTAAGCCTCAAAACAACAAGAGATATAGACGAAACATTAACGGCTTTAAACAACACTCTTACAGAGGCCGTACAAAATGTTACACCTGCGAACAATACAGGTAGCAAAGCCCAATACATCCCAGCTGAAATTAAAAGGTTGGAAGTTCAAAAAAGGAAAGCTAGGACCAAATGGCACCAAACCCACGCCCCAGCAGACAAGACTACATTAAACAGGCTAAGGAAACAACTAAAATCCAAACCTTAAAGAGGCACAAGAACACTACAGTAAGCCAGAAGTGATGAAGAAAAAACAACGCTATTTGCCGAGCATCTAGCTCAAGTATTTACTCCCAACGACGCTTCACATATTGAAATTGAAAGGGACATAAATAAAATTCCAAAGAACGTACCAGTAATCAGACCGCTTACCAAAAATGAAGTTCAACAAGAAATCCATTTAAACATTAGAAAAGTTGCTGGGCTGGACAAAATAACACCCAAAGGAACTACCAGATAAAGGAATCATACTGATTACTCTCATATTCAATGTTATTCTACGATTAAACAACTGCCTAAAGCTTTTTAAAACCGCTGAAATAATACTAATCCCAAAAGCAGTAAAAAATCCAAACGAGGTTCCATCATATCCAATCAGCCTACTACCAGTCGTATCCAAAATACTTGAAAGCTTACTGTTACAAAAAATTAACTCAGACCCCAATACGGGGGAATGGTTACCCAACCACCAATTTGGCTTTCGAAAAAAACACTCGACAATACAGCAGGTTCATAGAATAGTGCTCACCATAAATCCAGCAATGGAAGGAAAACACTAATGCACAGCTGCTTTTCTAGATGTTAGTCAAGCCTTTGATAAGGTTTGGCACACAGGCCTGATTCTTGGACCAATATTATATGTGCTATACACAACAGATCTACCCTCCCCTAATGAAACCATCACTGGCACGTTTGCAGATGATGCTGTCATCCTTGCAGCCGACGAAAATACACTTATAGCATCTAACATTCTACAGGTACAACTGAATGAAATCGAGACATGGTCTTACAAGTGGAGAATTAAAATGAATCAAACAAAATCAGTTCAGGTGACTTTTACTTTGAGAAGAGACCAGTGTCCCCAGTTTCACTTAACAATATCCAACTTCCCCAATCCTCTAGCACTAAACACCTAGGAATACATCTTCACTCAAAACTCAACTGGAAAGAACATATTCTTAAGAAGCGGAAACAAATTGACATAAGAATGAAAGATCTAAACTGGTTAGTAGGCAGGAAATCGAAACTGAGAAAATTTTGAAAACAAAATCCTTGTATACAAAACCGTCATAAAGCCTATCTAGACGTATGAAATCCAACTCTGAGGATGTACGAGCAAGTCAAACACAGCCATAATTCAAAGATGCCAATGAAAAATACTCCGAACGATAGCTGATGCACCTTGGCATATGTCAAACCTAACACTTCATGAAGACCGAAGAATCCCGTTCGTACCATAATTCCATCACATAGTAACCCCTTACTCCAACCTCTGCTAGAACACCAAGCCAATAGGAGACAAAAGCAACTGGCCAGCTGACCTGAAAAACGGTTATAGTGGTATTGTCACTGGAGAAGACCTCACCACGCCAATAGGTGCCCCTTGTTCCGCAGCCAGCACATTAGCTTATAGAACTTTATTTGTGTTTTGATTGCTAAAGATTGAGTCACAATAAAAAACACTGATTTAGAAAAAAAAAAAAAAAATAGTACCCGAACGAAATAGAAGACAACTAGTTATGTGAAATAATAAAGATAGTTAGAACAGGGCGGATCTGTTTTGAGGTGGATATGGTCACCTCTCACATCTAAATTTAGTCGTTCTTTCACATATCCGCCCCAGTCTAAGTGATCTTTTACTATTTCTACTTCATATTTTTTTAAACAAATAAATGTAAGGATACATTGTATTCAGGGCTTCTTGGCCACAGTTTGGAACTTTTCGCTTGCACAAATACTGTCGCTGACATTGTTTAAAGCGGTTTTTTGGTAACTGTATCATCTCTGACCAACGTCTCATTATCTTCAAATATGTCTGCCTTAGCTACAGATAAAACGGAAGGAAATAATTCCATTCCACGGCCTAGACGCCAGACATACAATGTGCCATAAACACCTAGCGTGAAAACCTACACATCATTGTTTTTTCGATAAGCTTTTGGTGAAAGGTAATAGTCACTGCAATTTCATATATTTTACGAATGAACACATGTTGGCATACTTTTTGTAAATATTATAGTGAAATCGCATGGTTGTATGCTTGTTATACATTAGCTGTATGGAACGGATATGTCTCAGACCATTATCAAATTTGTAACAACTGACTTTTGTATATAAATACTAACTATTAAGATTTCTCGTTTAATGACTATTCTATTTTCAAAGTTTATCCAGTTTTTGATTGAGAAAGAGGTTAATTGCGTGAAACATTTCTTTGTCGTAACAAATTTAAAACTTTTTGTGCGAAATAATACTATATTTATTGTGAAAGTTGATATCTCTCATACCATTTCGATACCTTTATCGAAATTATTTGAAATGAAAAGGTACGGACTCACAGAATT